AGATATATCGTAACTATAATAGTGAATCGATAGTCTTTATACTCGCTGACTGAGATAAGCACATTAAGGACAGAAATAATTAGAAAATGTCATATTAACTGACGTGGATAAGTAAATATTTCCCTGCAATTGATAGCAATTAATCAAGAATTAAAAATCAAGATAACATTCTTCGTTCATAGGATCACTTTCATTATTTTCAGAAATTCACTATTATATTTGCTATGTCATCAGCTGCCTCTACCATTTCTGATAAATTATTATTGCTATTAATTATATGCCGTGTCGACTGCATGTTAAAGTTTTGACTTTAACTCTTAATTTGTATAAATTATATATTGTTTTTCATAAGCCTATTTTCCTCTAATAATGAAAATCTATAATTGGGTTTTGTTTAGAAACATTTTCTGTGGTGTCAAAACGTGCCATTTGTCGTATACTTCTTACCCAAGTTTTGAATTACGATCAATATCACTTCCTCTCATATTGCAATTAATCGATATTAAAATCTTATGATCCTCGCTTCAATTGTTATTATTACTGTTAATTATCCCTTTTGACCACCCCGAGACCTTAACTAAAGAAATGGCTAATACTTGAAAGAATAGCTAAACAACTACATACCAAGATCCCCTATTGCTCATCACATAGGCCTACAAATTGCGCTTGAACTCGCCTGTAATAGAGGCAACTATGGCCTTCTGCTGCGTCCCTAGCCACGCTGAGGTACCGGCGCAGGGGGAAAGGGGCGACGTAGTCCAGGGCAGTGAACATGAAGGCGGCGCCCGTGGTGAAGGTGCTCAGGAGTTCGCCAGCTTCACAGGCTGTCCTCTCCAGGCACTGGTCCTCTCCCTGGTAACCTGGAATATATGGGGCTGGGCTGAGTAAAGGGAATCTTGTAACTTATATGATTAGCTTTTCGTTTTAATTTGGGAGGAATAGTTTGTCTTTGCGTGGATTAGGTTTGAATGGAAAAGTATCACGGTGCAAGAGGAGTTTAGCGCAGACATTGTTCGACAAGAGAATGGCAACGGTAAACTACCGGCAACAATACATTGGGATTATGAACTCCGTAATTCTCCAGTAAATTACGAGGAATTTGAATGTATCATTACCCATACTATTCTAAATCAACAATCGAAAGCCCTTTATAGCTTGCCATCTCTATCAACGTCTTTACTGGTTATCAAACTACAAAGCTTGACCGTGTAAAAAGTCTCAAAAAAGAACTCACCCATGTAAGCCATAAGGCCGAGCTTGAGCGAATCCCTAGCCAAAGCTGACACCTGGAAAGCCATGGAGTCCCTGGCCAAGCGTGCCAACATGGGCGTCTCCTCCATGCGCTGCAGGATCTCCCTCGCCACCACTAGGCTGAGGCTGCTCATGGCGGTCCGCTCCTCGTACACGCTCTTAGCCCCTTTCCTGCCCCACGCGCGGTTCTGCGGTGGAGACGTTGGTAATGGTTCGAGCAACACCACCGGGGCCTCAGAACTCACATGCTAGAAATCTTATCCACTTAGTACCATACTTCTCACCGAAGACTATATTAGAAAAATGGGAATGTTCCGTGAAACTGTGGCTTATTAGGGTTAAGATCCGAGGTTCAGGGTTTACAGAACACCTGCGCGTCGGTCATTGGCACGTACACCTGTCGGTGCTCCGGCAAAGGTCAACAAACCTCCATCGCGCATTTTTAGGCACTATAGGCCTCGCAGACTCTCTAGCAATTTATTATTAGTAATCAATGAGATTTCCCAAACACTTTCATTCCTAAAATATCCGTGGTGGAAATTTCTTGTTCCTTGCCGGAGCGCGAAGAGCGTATTGAATTATTTGTCTTTCCTTCATACAGTCTTTTTGTTTTCGCTTAAGGATAAGGGCTTTCAGTGGGTCTATAACACCCGCTGTGGTTTTCAGTTATGCCATCATAATGCATATACTTATTAATGCCTTCGAAACCTTGAATCCATGCAACAATAAGAAGCATGCTGGATATTCTCTTCGTTGTCTCTATCACTAACTAAACAAATTCCCTTTCGCTTTTGACGATTTGCACACAAGCCCCAAATTCCATAATGATAACAAGTACATGATGAGACTCGAAAAGTAATTACACTCACCTGAAACACCACCAAGATCACAGTCACCGCACCCAACACATGCATTTTCACACGCATATTGCTATCTGTGATATAACAAAAATATCAGTCTTTATCTGTTTGGTCGACTACTTCCTCGTGTTTCCTGTATTTACGCGTAACTCGATTTCTTTATTTTCGTTTTGTTGTGTAATTATTGTTTTAAAAAAAGTGTTCCATACACCTTTCCCCGCCCCAGTTGAAAGCGTGACTGGTAAACTTGCTTTTGACTCAGGATTTTCTTACAACCGGTAAACTGGGCAAATGTAGTTCGGTCTTTTAGGTAATTACTGTCTTGTCCTTTTCTTTTAGTTTTCTTTCCTTCTGTTTTCGTTTAATTTGGCCGTTTTAAAATTGTGGGAATACTGTTTTTAGTGTGAAAGGATTTCGGCTATAGAATGTTTTATTTTTGTAAGTATTGAGGAAGGGTGGAATTTGTGATTACAAATGCATACAAACACACACACACACTCACTCACTCACTCTCTCTCTCTCTCTCTCTCTCTCTCTCTCTCTCTCTCTCTCTCTCTCTCTCTCTCTCTCTCTCTCTCTCTCTCTCTCTCTCTCTCTCTCTCTCTCTCTCTCTCTCTCTCTCTCTCTCTCTCTCTCTCTCTCTCTCTCTCTCTCTCTCTCTCTCTCTCTCTCTCTCTCATTCACAGTCACAATCGCAACTACATTAAAAACACAATTACACACAAAATTAACGTATACGGTAACAATAATCTAGCAAAGTTGAACGAACCCCCACAGACAGTATAGGAAGGCATAGTAAAATTTCAGCCCGGAAGGTAAACGAACCTGCATACAATTCATTACCATTTTTTTCCACGCACCAAAGTCAAGGTTACATGACTTATAGGCCTACCTCACTAATAGGCGGAAAGACAGTGAAAGTCATGGGTGAGGGGGGGGAGGGGCGGTTAGAGTTCGATTGTGGCTTTGTTAACATTATGAGGAAGTTTTTACATATTTGTTAATTACTCGGTAGAATGTTGACCCCGGCAGATTTACTAATGTCGTCGTATTTAATTGTTTTCCAAGTGGGATATAATTAGATTTACTTGTACATTTATGGTGTACATGTAGGTACGCGTGTTGAGCGTATTTTGATTATGTGTATATATACTGTACATAAATATATACATACATGTAGTTACTCTACACATAACATACATATACATGAATGAAGAAAGCACTCTACCGTGTTGATAATATGGTAGAAAAACCCACAATGTAAAAACTAGATTTACTGAAGATGAGACCTCATCTTCAATAAATCTAGTTTTTACATTGTGGGTTTTTCTACCATACATATACATACACACAAACACATAAAATCACATACACACGCATGCGAACAGACACACACACAAACAAACACACACACACACACAAATATATATATATATATATATATACACTTTTACATATATATATGTATATGTTTATGTATATATATATATATATATATATATATATATATATATATATGTATATATATATACATATATGTATGTATATATATATACATACATATATTTTTACAATAAATACACATATATATATGACTAAAATAAAAATACATGTATAAAAAGATGTGTGTGTGTGATATATATACATATACATATACATACATATACATACATACATATATATGTATATATATATATATATATATATATATATATATATATATATATATATATATATACATTGCTTATAGATGCATACTCCTCTTCCCGGAAAAAAACAGTCACCATTAAATGAGTAATCTCAGGTATCTCGTCAACAATTTCCTATAAAACCATCCCCCTCTCCCCCCCAACCCTTTACACACCCGCTCGCTCTCACATATCGGTCAAGGGCGTGACACACTGCTCTCCATATACGCGTGCTTTTATGGCTAGTATGTCTTTTGTCATTGAGTTTGACGCTTTATGAAGCCCTGTTTTAGTAAACCGCATTTTAATTTTCCATATTCTTGGTTTAAACGATGACGTGGCAGTTACATTTACTTCAAAGGAAAGGTTATACCGGCGACCTTTTTGAAGTACGCGACCTTGCTGCTTTGTAAAAGGAGGCCAAGGTCAGTCTTGCAATGGTGCTATGTTGAGCGTGGGGCTGGGGCCGGGGTGCAACTTGCGGACTGCATATTGTTCATAATTTAATAACATAATTAGTACGTTTGTTTGGCGGAAATGGAGTTTTGATAAAGAGTGACATTGACAATGATCCATGTTTAGAATTTTTCATTGCTGTTGACCATAGCTACTGATAGGTGTGAAGCCTTTCAATAGCTATGGCCAGCAATAAATTTGAATATACTGAAAGTTAATGGAATTAGTATATAACGTTCACTAACGAAATTAGTCTTCCTCCGGCCCTCTCTCCTTCTCCTATCCTCTTTTTTCTTCTCTCCTGACCTCCAATCGGCCCTCGCCTCCTCGCCTCTCTCTCTCTCTCTCTCTCTCTCTCTCTCTCTCTCTCTCTCTCTCTCTCTCTCTCTCTCTCTCTCTCTCTCTCTCTCTCTCCTTTCTCTTTCTCTTTCTCTTTCTCTTTCTCTTTCTCTTTCTCTTTCTCTCTCTCTCTCCCTCCCTCCTTATCTGTGTATATATCCGCCTACATGCCTCCTTCTCCGTTTACCTTTTTAGAAACAACGCACTAGAGATGGACAGTGGTCAGTGAAGACAAATAATAATGAGGAAGAACACAAATAGACTGTATACAAACTGTATCCTGGCAAAAAATCGTAATAAAAACACGCCGATTAAACAGCCACCCGCCTTATTCAACAGAGTCGCATGTTGGCCCACGAGCCGTCACGAGCGTTGAGGGAAGACTTTATGGCGCGCTGTTGGCCACTCCACGTGGGGACCGTTCCCGCGTGCACCTTTGACTCCATTTGCGATTGCGTCGGTCGCGCTCGCTCGCTCACGTGGGAATCATTTCTCTTGGGACGCTTTTTATTGCGTTCCTTCTTCCCATGTCTTTTTTTTTTTTTTTTGTACTTATTTCCGCGCATTTAATTTCCTCTTGGCGTAGAGTATATAAAGCAAATATAATTTATACGTCATCGCGATATGAAGATCGATCACGATGCGGGTGCGGCCAGATATACGAAGCATACCCACGTATGTCCATTTCTTCATCTTCCTTTTTTTTAAGATTCCTCGCGACTCCTTCCATGGATTGGCCTCGAACGTGCTTTTGTGTCTTGGCAGAGGTCGTCAGGTAAGGGTTGTCACATGTCCCTCGCTCCACGCAAGGCCCACCACCCAACAGCGCTACATAAGACCCTTTGTTCGTCAGCTGTTTTGCGTGCGTCAGTCTTCCCTTCCCCCCTCCTTCGCCCCGCCTACTGACCCCCCCGCGGCTGCCTCCTCCCCCTCCTCTTTCTCTCTCTCTCTATCTCTCTCTCTCCCTCTCTCTCTCTCTCGCTCTCGCTCCTCCTCCTCCGTGACGCATTTTCTCGCTCGTAAGTTGTTCGTCTGATGTGGAATTTTAACAGTAAACTACAGCAATAGATTATATCGTGGCATTCTATTAATCACACATATATGAGAATGAATTATACATTTAATGATTCTTTACACAAAACCTTTTGCTTCTTGTAGGCAGAGCGGTCCCATGGTGTAATGGTTAGCACTTTGGACTCTGAATCCAACAATCCGAGTTCGAGTCTCGGTGGGACCTTGAACATTTTTCGTCGTGTTATTGCTGTTCAGCGGTCTCTTTGTCGTGTTATTCGTTCATTATGATGAAGGTATACATATTCCTTTAGTTCTTAATTGTTGTGGAAGTTAATTATAATCAGTATTTCCGTTAGCTATTGATTAAATTCAAAGCTTGCGAAGATGGCCTTTGGAAACCTTACTCGTCCAATTATTGCCAAAATGGGCGGATATTTTGTCTCAGATTGCTGCAGTTATGGCCACAATTTGAGAAGAAATTATATCTTAAACAAAGGAATTTTCGATTTTCAAAGCTATTGAGAATTATCCATGCAAAGGTCGGTTTCCGGTCGTCTTCGGGTTCAATTTTGCAAAATAGTCTCGCTATTTCATTTCTTTCCGTTTCGTCCAAAGTGTGTAACGTTTTGAAGATTTGCTAATTCCAATTTCATTTCCAGAACGTTTATTTTCATACCTTTAAAAACTGTAAAAATAACTACATAATATCTCGGCGATCTGAGACATCTTTAGAAAGAGCAACATAATAATAACTTCTGTTTTCAAATTTGCATGAACGAAATTGAACAGCGTTGATTATGACGTCATCAACTTGCAAGACGCATCTACGAAACGCATTTGCATAAACAATATGGCAAAAACGGTTAGAGATGACCTTTGTATAACTTAATGTTTCGTTTTTGCACAAGATTTGATAGTGATGTTTGGGTAGACTGTACCATTTAATAGATTCCTTGGTTTATTATTTACTAGATAACAACAAAAGTTCATCTAATAAAGGAGTCCGGATATAATCCACCTCTTAAACTCCGCCCCTATTTTCTTTCTAGTGCCATTCAATGTCAAAGTTTCTTTTAATGTCGACTACGGGGTATCTCGACCCTAATTTGATCCTCTCATCTTTGGATACAATACTAGAGAAAAAACATGATACTTTATTTCAAAAGTGCACTAGCGAACGCAGTCACTACCGACGCTAAATTTACTCGTTCTTTCCCTCCGCCATTTGCCTTTTAGTTTGACCGATAAACATAGACAAGAAAATCAAGGAAGCAAGAAAGGTTTGTTCACTAGTTTAATTTCTTAGCGAATAAGAAAAAAAACAAGATTTATTCTTTTTTTTTTAATCAAGTACGCCAAATGGCGCCTTTCCACCAAGACGGGGCAGCGTTCACCGCCCACAGCAATAGCGCCACATAAGCAGGGGTGTTACAACGAATCCGCCGAGACGAGGAGGAAGAGAGGGAGGGAAGAGGGAGGAGCCTCTTCCTCCTCCTCATTTTTTATACTGTTTTTGTTTTCCGGTCCGTGAGTCATTTCTACACGGACGTTACTGGGTGAAGAGTGTAAAGGAGAATGAAATATAAAGAAAAAACAGTAGGAAAAGCTATTAGAATCCCCACAGAAAGGATAATTTGGGGGTACGGATTGCATATGCAATCGATTTTTTTCTTGTTTTTTATTTGCAATGCATTTGCGGTCGTATGAGGGTGTGC